ATAGATTACTAAAAAATAAACTAAGTCAGTAAACTGATTTATTTTTTAAATCTCTTAATTTTTAAAATATTAAGAAAAGTAGTATTATTTTATTTTGGATAAACTTTTGTGAACTAAAACAATTGTTTTATGATAAAACAAAAATTCACAATGATTTTAAATAGATAATTATTCAAATAGTCATAACTATTTGAACTTTTTTGATAAACAGATTTAGTTTTTCCAATATCCTGCTTATTAATCTTTCAAAAGTTAATAAATTAGTATTATTTTCTTTCGAATAAGCTTGTATGAACTAAAACAATTATTTTATGATTAAACAAAAGGTTAGAGCGATTTGAAATAGATAATTATTCAATAATCTTAACTATTTGAACTGATCGACAAACACATTTATTTTTTAAATCTCTTATTAATTTTTAAAATATTATTAAAATTAGTATTATTTTTATCTGAATTAGCTTATGTGATAAAAAAACAATTGTTTTATGATAAAACAAAGATCATAACAATTTGATATTAATATTTGTTCAAATAGTCATTACTATTATAATTGCTTTGAAAAATAGCTTTAGTTTTTAAATCTCTTGTTTAATAATTTTTGAAATATTAATAAAGTAGTATTATTTTGTTTTAGATAATTTTTTATTAACTAAAACAATTGTTTTATGACAAAACAAAATGTCAAAATAATTTTAAATAGATAATTGTTTAAATAGTCATATCTATTTGAAATTGCTTAGTAAACAGATTTATTTTTTTAAATCTCTTACTTTAATTTTTCGAATGTTAATAAATTAGTATTATTTTATTCCAAATAAGCTTGTATGAACAAAAATAATTCCTTATGACTAAACAAAAGGATAGAATGATTTGAAATAGATAATTATTCTGATAGCCTTAACTATTTGAACTAGTTCAACTAACATATTTATTTTGTAAATCTCTTATTAATTTTTGAAATATTATTAAATTAGTATCATTTTAATCCAAATAAGCTTGTATGAAAGGAAACAATTGTTGTATGACAAAATAAAGATCATTATGATTTGAGATAGATAATTGTTCAAATAGTCATAACTTATATTAATATAATTATTAAAATATATTTATTATACTAATAATATTATATTTAACTATAATACTATAAATTATTAAGATTTTAATAATGATTATTAGTATTATATTTATATTATAATACTATTATTCAATTTATATATATTATAATTATAATATTATAATATTATTATTTATTATTTATTATTTAAATATTTAAATATTTAAATAATTATTAATATTTTTAATTATATATTAAATAAATTAGTTTAAATATTAATATATATCGTATTAATAAATATTAATACAAGCTATTATAACATTAAATTTTTATATTAATACATATATTAAGGATAAATTAGTTTTATATTTAATTAATAAGATATTTGAACTATTTAAATGTGAACTATTTCAAAAATTAATAAGATTTAAAAAATAAATATATTAGCCGAACTAGTTCAAATAGTTAAGATTATGAGAATAATTATCTATTTCAAATCATTCTATTCTTTTGTTCAGTCATAAAACAATTATTTCAGTTCATACAAGCTTATTTAAAATAAAATAATACTAATTTATTAACATTCAAAAAATTAAAACAAGAGATTTAAAAAATAAATCTGTTTACTGAATAATTTCAAATAGATATGACTATTTAAACAATTATCTGTTTAAAATTATTTTGACATTTTATTTTGTCATAAAACAATTATTTCAGTTAATAAAAATTTATTTGAAATAAAATAATACTACTTTATTAATATTTCAAAAATTATTAAGCAAGAGATTTAAAAACTAAAGCTGTTTTTCAAAGCAGTTCTAATAGTTATGACTGTTTGAATAAATATTAATCTCAAATCGTTATGATCTTTGTTTTGTTATAAAACAATTGTTTTTTATCATATAAGCTGATTCACATAAAAATAATACTAATTTAATAATATTTTGAAAATTAGTAAGTAAGAGATTTAAAAAATAAAATGTGTTTGCTAATCAATTCAAATAGTTAAGATTATTAGAATAATTATCTATTTCAAATCGTTTTGACCTTTTGTTTAATCATAAAATAATTGTTTCAGTTCATACAAGCTTATTCAAAAGAAAATAATACTAATTTATTAACTTTTGAAAGATTAATAAGCAGGATATTTGAAAAACTAAATTTGTTTACCAAACAAGTTAAATAGTTATGACTATTTGAACAATTATCTATTTAAAATCATTGTGAATTTTTGTTTTGTCATAAAACATTTGTTTTAGTTCACAAAAGTTTATCCAAAATAAAATAATACTACTTTTCCTAATATTTTGAAAATTAAGAGATTTAAAAAATAAATCAGTTTACTAACTTAGTTTAAATAATTATGGTCATTTGAACAATTATCTATTTCAAATCGTTATTACCTTTCATTTTGTCATAAAACAATTGTTTTTCAACATACAAGCTTATATGAAATAAAATTGTTAGTACTTTTTGTTTTGTCATAAAACAATTATTTTTGAATGTATAAGTTTACCTGAAATAAAATAATACTAATTTATTAATATTTGAAGAATTAGTACGAGATTCAAAAAATAAATCTATTTACCGAATAAGTTCAAATAATTATGATTATTTGAACAATTATATATTTCAAATTGTTATAATACTTTGTTTTGTCATAAAATAATTATTTTTGTTCGTATAAATTTATTCAAAAAAATAATACTAAATTAATAATATTCTAGAAATTCATAACTAAGAGATTTAGAAAGTAAATTTGTTTGTTGAATCAGTTTAAATAGTTAAGACTATATGAATAATTATCTATTTTAAATTGTTATGACCTTTTGTTTTGTTATAAAACAATTATTTCAGCTTATACAAGCTTATTCGTAATAAAATAAAACTAATTTATTAATATTTGAAAAATTTATACGTAAGAGATTTAAAAAATAATTTTATTTATTGAATTAGTTCAAATAATTATAACTATTTGAACAATTATATATTTCAATTTGTTATAACCTTTTATTTTGTCATAAAATAATACTAATCAAATAATATTTTGACAATTAATAACTAAGAAAATTAAAAATTAAATTTGTTTGCCAAACCACTTCAAATGGTTAAGGCTATATAAAAAATTTTCTATTTCAAAAACTTATGACATTTTATTTTATTGAAAAGCAATTTTTTTAGCTCTTACTAACTTATTTAGAATAAAATAAATTAACTGTATTAATATTTCAAAAATTAATAAGTAAGAGATTAAAAATATAATTTTGTTAGCCGAAGTAGTTTAAATAATTATGAATATTTGAACAATTTATCTATTTTAAATCATTATTACCTTTTGTAATAAAACAAGTGTTTTTGTTCATATAAATTTGTTTAGAACAAAATAATATTAATTTATTAATATCTTGAAAATTATTAAGTAAGAGATTTAAAAGATAAATCTGTTTGTCAAATTAGTTCAATTAGTTATAACTATTTGAACAATTATTTATTTTAAATTGTTATGACCATTTATTTTATCATAAAACATTTGTTTTTATTCATAGAGTCTTATTCAAAATAAAGTAATGCTAATTCAAACTTAATAAGTAACGGATTTAAAAAATGTATCTATTTGCCTGATTAGTGTAAATAGTCATGACCGCTTGAACAAATATCAATTTCAAATCATTATAACATTTTGCTTTGTCACAAAACAATTGTTTTTGTTCGTACAAGTTTATTTGAAATAACAAATTTCTAATTTATTAATATTTCAAAAATTTACAAGTAAGAGATTTAAAAAATGAATTTATTTACTGAACAAATTCAAATAATTATGGCTATTTGAACAATTATCTATTTCAAATAGCTATGACCTTATGTTTTGTTATAAAACAATTTTTTCTATTTATACAAACTTATTTCAAATCTATTTACCGAATAAGTTTAAATAGTTATGACTATTTGAACAATTATTTATTTCAAATCATTATGACTTTTTGTTTTGTCATAAAACAATTATTTTTGTTCATAAAAGTTTATTCATATTAAAATAATATTAATTTATTAATATTTTCATAATTAATAAGTAAAAGATTTAAAAAATAAATATGTTTATCAAATAAATTCAAATAGTAATAACTATTTAAATAATTATCTATTTCAAATTGTTTTAATCTTTTGTTTCGTTATAAAAAATTATATCAATTTATATAGGCTTATTTGAAATAAAACAATACTAACTTATTAATATTCAAACAATTAATGAGTAAGAGATTTAAAAAATAAATCTATTTACCGAATAAGTTCAAATAGTTATGACTATTTGAACAATTATCTATTTTATATCATTAAGACTTTTTATTTTGTCATAAAATAATTGTTTATGTTCATATAAACGTATTTTGAATAAAATAATATAAATTTACTAATATTTTAAGAATTAATAAGTAAAAATTTTAAAAATAAATCTATTTTCTAAACACGTTCTAATAGTTATGACTATTTGAACAATTATCTATTTCAAATCGTTATGACTTTTTTTTGTCATACACCAATTGTTTCTATTCATAAAGGCTTATTCAGAATAAAATAATATTAATTTATTAAATTTCAAAAAATTAATAACTTAAAGATTTAAAACATAAATTTATTTATCGAGTAGATTCAAATAGTTATGACTACTTATATAATTATTTTATTTCAAGTTATTGTGATATTTTGATTTTTCATAAAACAATAGTTTCTATTGATACAAGTTTATTCAAAACAAAATAATATTAATTTATTAATATTCTAAAAATTAATAAGTTAAAAATTTAAATAATAAATATATTTACTGAATAAATTTAAATAATCATATCAATTTAAATTATTATCTATTTCAAATCGTTAAGACATTTTATCTTATCATAAAATAATTATTTTTACTCATTCAAAATTATTCAAAATAAACCGCCACCACCATCCCATCCCCTTTCCTTTGCCAGCCGATCACCAACCCAACCCCACTGATTCCGAACTACCCCACTAGGAACAGCTCCCATCTCCCACCTACCCTCCACCCACATCCCTACCGAGATAGCCATCGAAACTGCCAAAAAATAAATAGCAACTGTCACAGCCAAAAACAGAAAATAAAAAAACCAAGCCAGCAAAGCCAAAAAAAAAAAAAAATGCAAACAACCACAGTCCTCTATTGAGGAATCCATCAGGAAAAAAAAAAAAAAGAAAGAGAAAAGGGCCCGTTGAGGACGAAAAGGACAGAAAATAAAAAAACCAAGCCAGCAAAGCCAAAAAAAAAAATGCAAACAACGACAGTCCTCTATTGAGGAATCCATCAGGAAAAAAAAAAAAGAAAGAGAAAAGGGCCCGTTGAGGACGAAAAGGGCTTTCGGTCATGGGATTTTTTTTTGTTTTTATGAGTGATTTGGGAGAGTATTTTTAAGATTTTGGAAAAGGAGAGAAAAGAGCTATTTTTTTGGGCGGTGGGAGCGACGGCGGTGTATGGAGGTCAGCAGTGGCCAGGAGACTTTTGGATGATCTGAACCGGTAGAAAGGAAGGATGGAAGGGGAGAAACAACATACTTTGGTTTCAGGACGACCGGATGGCAAGAAGAGGGTGAACGGCGGTTTAAAATTTCGGATTAAAGTTTCAGATCTAAGCTATTATGAGGTGATTTGAGCAAAACAGAGGCTGAATCTGAGACGAGAAGGAAGAGAGGAGTCCACGGCTGAAATTTTGGAGCCAACTGACGCCAAACAGCGGCAGTGAACGGCGCCGGGTCGGCTACCGTCGCCGGGATCTGGGTTAGGGGATAGTGGCCGGGTGTGTCTTTTTGTGGAGAGAAAATGTTGCTCTTTGAAAGAGAAGAAGAATGAAATGATATAAAAAAAAAGGTTTTGCATTTTATAGTATAGCAAAAAATGAAAAACACAGGTTTGATGCTCCTGACCCGAACCTCTTACAATGTTTGTATTTAGCAAAGTGATCAATGAATATGGAAATCCTAATAGCACATTTCTCTGATGATGTTGTAGATAAGGTATGTGCCTCTTACATTTTTATTATTTTAATCGATAGCATTTGTATAATAGATCTTTGTTATGGTCTGCAGCCAATTCAAGCTATTTGCATAGATAAGATTAGTTCATATCTTTAGTTTGTGATAGTTATTTTGTTAACTCTTCCACTGTAAAATTTATTCTACAGTTTATACTCAGGCTGTTTTATATTGCAATTAGAGTTAGATTTTTTGCTTTTATTGGTGAGTTACAGTTATGAACTAACTTCTATCCCAAAAAGAAGGGAGAAAGAAAGAAAAGATGAACATGAAAAAAAAAACAGTTTTTTGGTGGACAGTTATGATTATGTCAATTATCATTCATCCAAACCTAATTTTCCATGTGTCCATTTTAACTTTTTGACCATATAATTATAGATTCGTATGGAAACTCCATCTGGGATTAAGGACTCCATTCCTGCTTGGATCAAGTTCTCTGTTCAAGCACCAGGTGAAATCCCATACAACAGAATACAGTATGATCTGCCAGAAGAGGTATAGTTAGTGGCTGTTTGATCTTTTGGTTTTGTTGGAAAGATTAGATAACTTATTCTTTTTAAACTATAAGCAGTTAAAATATTTGGAGCTTGGGGAAAATCAGAAATACAAACTAATGTTTATATGATAATTTTCAAATGGCTGCATGTGTGTGAAGATATATAGATAAAAGCATGCATGCACACAAATATGATTAATTGATTATATAAACAAATAATGAATTTCTTATTCATCTTAGTGTAGGTTGTTTTGATGAATGTCTTTCTTTATAACGTTAATATTAAGATCAATGCCCTTAAAGGTTTTTAAGAAAATAATTTTGATTGGTTCTTTTTCATATATGAAGTCAGTTTCTAAATTGTGTTCTCGCTTGCTCAAGTTTAATCAGTGCACAGCACAGTCAACTTAATTTAGTCTGTAATATGTGTCTTATCTCAAATTTTTGTACTCTCTAATCTGACTAATGATTTTTATATTGTAACAGGAAAAGTATGTATTCAAACACCCCCAGCCAAGAAGACCAAAATCACTTAAGTCTATGAATCACATGTTGGAATGAGTAGCATGGTATGGATCTTCCTTTCCCTTGCATGTAGCAAATTGTTATTCAACTCTTCTGTCTCTGTGCTGAATTGCATTTCCTTGGTTTATTTAATTGATTTATTTAATCTTAAAAGAGGAAACCTTAAGTTTGATAAAAAGCTTCATTAAATGCTATCACGTGTGGGATGTTTCAACCCTTCCTATGAAGTGTTCTTGCAAGGTTTTGAGACCGAAAAAGCATGAGGTTTTATAAGACAATATATTTTACAGGAAAACTTAATCTTAGTATTTGTATTTAAACTATCAATTTTAACCCCACCCCCCCTCCCCCCCCCCTCCCAAAAAAAAAGAAGGAAGATAGAGAGACATTTTGACTTGCATTGAACATCTTAAGAGCATCAAACAGTATAGCTGTCTGGAAAGGCCTGTAAATTTTGAAACGGAACTTTCCTGCATCCCATAGGCAGGGTGGCCTCTCTTAAAGAGAAAATCTGTCAAATTAAGCTAGCAAAAAGCCACGTAGGTGTATACGGCCTACTTTTTGTGTTCTTTGGTTAAAGGAAGTCCTTCCATTTGGATTATACTAAATAATGAGTATTACTTTAGTTAATGATAATGCAAATGCCAAACAGCTAGCGACTTGGATCTGTAGTAATTACTTTGTGTATAACAATATCTTAAATAACAGTTTCAAATCAATAACATAGAAGTTGGTTTGATTGCATTTCATTATGATTCTTCACCCATTTCTAAAGCCCATTAAAAAGCCTAAATTTGCAATTAAACCAAAATTTATCTCTAGTTTTCGTCATACTGTCATTCAAAGAAAATTTGTCCCACAAACACCTTTAGTCTTTATCTTCCATGGTACACTTTGGTACGGTTAATCCATTTCTAGTTTTCTTAATATTATCAACTCTAAGATGCAGGAGCCAATAATTAACACATATGCCAACTTTAGAGATGATGTGCTTCCCCGCATTAAAAGACTTGGATATAATGCTGTTCAAATCATGGTTATTCAAGAGCACTTGTATTATGCTAGATTTGGGTATTCTCTCCATCAAAATATCAGCTCATCTTTACTTGTTGCTGTTTATGTTTGTTAACTTGTACTAAAATGTTATGTTTTGGATGTAAACATAAATATTTCTTCAGAATTTAGTTTTGGTTATGGAAACTAACCTCTTCTACTTTTAACAAGTTGCATTTAATATGTTGTAGGTATCATGTGACAAACTTCTTTGCACCAAGCAGCCATTTTGGAACCCCTGATGATCTTAAGTCACTGATAGATAGGGCTCACAAGTTGGGTCTACTTGTTCTTATGGATATTGTGCATAGGTAATAATTGGACTTGCAGGAGAATATCATTTCTAGAGACACACCCTTTAGCTTTATTTGCTGTTACAGTTTTTGTGCAAACGGTTTTTCCCAGCTTTTTTCATACCAAAAATAAAAAAATAAACTCTTTTTCTTCTTTTTTTTCCTGCATAGACTGTATGGTCATTCTTCTGGTAGACTTGATGCAAATATGGCTATGAGAATTTAGGCTGTTATTGGTCCTTATTCTTCCTATGTTTTCTCTAGTTGCTTTTGGCTTCCTAAATGGTTTCTAAAGAACAAACCTAAAAGGGAGAAAGCAAAGTAATAATTGTTTGAAAATATATATGATTAAATGCAATTTAATTTGTAGTATAATTATTCTATTAAAAGAGAAATCATAGTATTTTGTTCTATAAGAGATTATATTTTTTATTTTTAATTCTTTTAAAGTATTATTGTCTTTTCTACCCATACGTACTTTCTGCTTCTGGAAGCAAAAAGCTAGTAGCAAAAACAACTACCAAATGGAATCTTACTGTATTGTTTACAATGAAAGTTTTTATCTTTTGCATGTCGTTAATGTTAAATTCTTTTCTAAGCTGTAGCAAATTTTTATTCAAGTATTTGCTCTGTTGCTTTGAGTGAGTAATCTTTGCTATAAGTCTCAATTAATTTTTTATTCTTTAGTTAAATTAAGTTATTACTTAATTTTCCCATCCATCTTTGTATCTTACTAATGTTTGACTAATACAGCCATGCATCTAATAATGTGTTAGATGGATTGAACATGTTTGATGGAACCGATGCTCATTACTTCCACTCAAGGTCAAAGGGTCACCATTGGATGTGGGATTCTTTCCTTTTTAATTATGGTAGGTGGGAAGTATGTACTTCTACTGAAACTTCTCTTAAACAATAGCTTGTTGAAAGATTTTGGCTTCCTTCCATCCTATTGTGTGTAAATATTAATTTTTACTTGTTGCTTTAGGTACTAAGGTTTCTTCTTTCAAATGCAAGATGGTGGCTGGACGAATACAAGTTTGATGGGTTCAGATTTGATGGTGTGACTTCAATGATGTACACCCATCATGGGTTGCAGGTAATATCTGAGTGAGTTTGCAAATTTTCTATTTTGCTTGGTGTTATATAATAAGTTACTTGCATGTTCAGATGTTAATTATCAAAGTTTTGACTTTATGTTATATAGAGAAGTAGAACTGATGTAACATTTGGTTCTTGTAAGTGGTGAAGCATCATTTCTCTATGTTTGTTTCTTAACTAAATTCTCTTGAGGACTAAAGGTTGTTAGTGTCATTGCATCATTATAATGTATTATCCCGGCTTAACCTTTGTTTTCTTGAACTTGCTGTAGGTAGCATTTACTGGAAACTACAATGAGTATTTCGGATATGCAACTGATGTAGATGCTGTTGTTTATCTGATGCTGGTTAATCATATGATTCATGGGCTACATCCTGAGGCTGTCACCATTGGTTAGGATGTATGTTCTATAACTCTTCTTTGAGTCACATTGAGCATCCTTCGACTTATAATTATTTATCTGTTCCAGAATTATGATGTCCGCTTTAAGTCTCCTGTCTCCTTTACAGCAACATTTGTTGCACTGGGTTGCGTAAATGGAATGGGGTTTCAATACTTTTTTACGTGATCCATGAGGATGCTAAGTGTAGAAATGGTTTTGAAAAAGTTTGCACACATGTACTTGTCTGTGCGAAAGCCTACCAAACATTTGTGTATTGTACATGTTTTTCTAATTCTCTACTGCTTCATCACTTCTCTTCATGCATCAATTGAATTCATATGCCATGAATAAGTAGGTTACCCTGCTAGTTGTTAAGTGTTTTGATATTGTAGAATGAACTAAAGAATTGAAAAAAATGCTTGTTGTAAATTGAACTAATTTTTATTGTAAACCAAGAGTTATGGAAACATAGCAACTAAAGATGCCAAAAATGAAAATTCCAAAAACACTTGAAAGGAACAAACAAGAATCTCTAGAAATCTTAAAATATCCTTGCTTTTCACATATTTCATCTTTTGTACAAATAATTCACCTAAAGAGCTACTAGCACAATAAAAGGTAATTTATGTTTTACCCTTTAGAAATATTAGCATAGTAAGGAACATTTAATTGATAAAATGTTTATATTGGAGTGATTTAGTTGCAGATTTTCATATATTATTTACAAAAATAACATTCTTTATGTTCTGTGAATGTTGAAGAGGAAAAGAAACAATAGTTGAAGGTAGACTTCCACCATCTTAAATTGTCATCTATCATAATAATCAATTCTCCCCTGCTTTTCTCTTTGACTCTGACCCATGTGCTCTAAGATGTATGCCTCAAGAAACTGTAGTATTTTCTATACCAACTGTTCATAAGCGATGCTTATATCTTCTCTAAATGCAACTGTTGAAAGAAGTTAAAAGTTATCTAAGTTTGGTTTGTCAAAACATTTAGCTTAATGTTAAATCTGAATGTAAACATGGATCTTTATATATATACATATATATGTATGTGAGCATGAATGTTCTTCTTAATGTCTTAATGGACTAAAGATTAGGTGTATAGTCTGGTGCAGTTGGTATTCTTAAAAGCTCCAAATAGAAAAAGTTAAGAAGATAAACCCTGTCAAAGTTTCTATAATTAAGTGCAAAAGTCACCTTGCTTATGTAACAAATAATTGTATTAGCTAATTCATATATTTAATGCCATGCAGTTTCAAGTATAAAAGGGAAGGTGAATGTGTTTTAAGTGCTTAGAAAGCTATGTTGATTTACATTGGCAGTGATTTATTGTCTATTTCTATATTTAAATAACATCTAATGGTCAATTCTACAAATATTAATTGTTTTTTAACAGAATGAGTTTGGTGTCTGGGAGATCTTTTGGCCTAATAATGCTGATTATTCACCACCAATTCCCCATGGTTCTCAAGTGAAGGTAAATTACCTGTAGATGAACATAAGTTTGGCTCTTAAAAGTTATTGTGCTTACATTCAAATGCTACTTGTTTATTATTTCCTTTTTCCACTTTTTAAGTCAGAGTAAAAAGAAAGTATAAAAACTTGCAACTCTTTCCCTGTAGATCAACAATGTATTTAACCTTTTGATCATGATCTGTGGACCAGGAACCTTAGTATGATGCTTTTTTTTTTTACATTGATCCTATTGCATGTGTATATGGTTTGAATAAATCAGTGGTTTGTACTACAACCTTTACAATAATTAATTACTAGAATTCATGACATAAAGGCATTGAAGTATTTAATGGGGTGGTCTCCAAGGCAATCAAAATTATTCAAGGTGGCTGAGTTCAAATCCAACTAACTCCTACCCCAAAAAGAAGGGAGAAAGAAAGAAAAGATGAAGATGAGCAAAAAAACATTTTTTTGTTGGACTGTTATGATCATGTCAATTATCATTCATCCAAACCTCTTTTTCCATGTGTCCATTTTAACTTTTTGACCATATAATTGTAGATTTGTATGGAAACTCCATCTGGGATTAAGGACTCCATTCCTGCTTAGATCAAGTCCTCTGTTCAAGCACCAAGTGAAATCCCATGCAACAGAATGTACTATGGTATGCCAGAAGAGGTATAGTTAGTGGCTGTTTGATATTTTGGTTTTGTTGGAAAGATTAGATAACTTATTCTTTTAAAAACTATAAGTAGATAGCTTATTCTTTTAAAAACTATAAGCATCTGAAATATTTGGAGCTTGGGGAAAATCAGAAATACCAACTAATGTTTATGATAATTTTAAAATGACTGTATGTGTGTGAAGATACATAGACAATAGCATGCATGCATGCCTACGCACAAATATTAATTGATTATATAAACAAATAATGAATTTCTTATTCATCTTAGAGTAGGTTGTTTTGATGAATGTCTTCCTTTATAACGTTAATATTAAGATCAATGCCCTTAAAGGTTTTTAAAAAACCAATTTTGATTGGTTCTTTTTCATATATGAAGTCAGTTTCTAAATTGTGTTCTCGCTTGTTCAAGTTTAATCATTGCACAGCACAGTCAACTTAGTTTAGTCTGTACTATGTGTCTTATCTCAAATTTTTGTACTCTCCAACCTGACTAATGATTTTTATACTGTAACAGGAAAAGTATGTATTCAAACACCCCCAGCCAAAGAGACCAAAATCATTTAAGTCTATGAATCACATGTTGGAATGAGTAGCATGGTATGCATATTCCTATTCCTTGCATGTAGCAAATTGTTATTCAACTCTTTTGTCTCTGTGCTGAATTGCACTTCCTTGGTTTATTTAATCTTAAAAGAGGAAACCTTAAGTTTGATAAAAAGCTTCATTTAATGCTATCACGTGTGGGATCATATTTTTTATGCTATTTCTTTCGACCCTTCCTGTGAAGTGTTCTTGCAAGGTTTTGAGATCGAAAAGTAAAACAGGAGGTTTTATAAGACAATACATTTTATAGGAAAACTTATCTTTGTACTAGTATTTAAACTATGAAATTTAACCCCTCCCCACCCCCCCCCCCCCCAAAAAAAAAAAAGGAAGATATAGAGACATTTTGACTTGCATTGAACACCTTTAAGAGCATCAAACAATATAGCTATCTGGAAAGGCCAGTAAATTTTGAAATAGAACTTTACTGCATCCCGTAGGCAGGGTGGCCTCTCTTAAAAGAGAAAATCTGTCAAATTAAGCTAGCAAATAGCCACGTAGGTGTATACGGCCTACTTTTCGTATTTGGTTAAAGGAAGTTTTTCCATTTGGATTATACTAAATAATGAGTATTACTTTAGTTAATGATAATGCAAATGCCAACAGCTAAGACTTGGATCTCTGGTAACTGCTTTGTGCATAGAAATATCTAAATAGCAATTTCAAATTAATAACATAGAAGTTGGTTTGATTGCATTTCATTATGATTCTTCACCCATTTCTAAAACCCATTTAAGAGGCTTAAATTTGCAATTAAACCAATAAATTTATCTCTAGTTTCGTCATACTGTCATTCAAAGAAAATTTGTCCCACAAAACCTTTAGTCTTTATCTTCCATGGTAACTTTGGTATGGTTAATCCATTCCTAGTTTTTCTTAATATTATTCAACTCTGAGATGCAGGAGCAATGAATTAACAACATATACCAACTTTAGAGATGATGTGCTTCCCCGCATTAAAAAAGACTTGGATATAATGCTGTTCAATCATGGCTATTCAAGAGCACTTGTATTAATGCTAGATTTGGTGTTATATCTCCATCAAAATATCAGCTCATCTTTATTTGTTGCTGTTTATGTTTGTTAACTTGTACTAAAATGTTATGTTTTGGATGTAAACAGAAATATTTCTTCAGAATTTAGTTTTGGTTATGGAAACTAACCTCTTCTACTTTTAACAAGTTGCATTTAATATGTTGCAGGTATCATGTGACAAACTTCTTTGCACCAAGCAGCCATTTTGGAACCCCTGATGATCTTAAGTCACTGATAGATAGGGCTCACAAGTTGGGTCTACTTGTTCTTATGGATATTGTGCACAGGTAATAATTGGACTTGCAGGAGAATATCATTTCTAGAAACACACCCTTCAGCTTTATTTGCTGTTACAGTTTTTGTGCAAACGGTTTTTCCCAGCTTTTTCGTACCAAAAATAAAAATAAACTCTTTCTTCTTTTTTTTTTCCTGCTTAGACTGTATGGTCATTCTTCCAGTAGACTTGATGCAAATATGGCTATGAGAATTTAGGCTGTTATTGGTCCTTACTCTTACTATGTTTTTTCTAGTTGCTTTTGGCTTCCTAAAAGGTTTCTAAAGAACAAACCTAAAAGGGAGAAAGCAAAGATAATTGTTTGAAAATATATATGATTAAATGCAATAGAATTTGTAGTATAATTGTTCTATTAAAAGAGAAATCATAGAATTTTGTTCTACAAGAGATTATATTTTTTATTTTTAATTCTTTTAAAGTATTATTGTCTTTTCTACCCAAATACTTTCTGCTTTTGGAAGCAAAAAGCTAGTAGCAAAAACAACTACCAAATGGAATCTTACTGTATTGTTTACAATGAAAGTTTTTATCTTTTGCATGTCGTTAATGTTAAATTCTTTTCTAAGCTTAGCAAATTTTTATTCAAGTATTTGCTCTGTTGCTTTGAGTAAGTAATCTTTTGCTATAAGTCTCAATTAATTTTTATTCTTTAGTTAAATTAAGTTATTAATTAATTTTTCATCCATCTTTGTATCTACTAATGTTTGACAATACAGCCATGCATCTAATAATATGTTAGATGGATTGAACATGTTTGATGGAACCGATGCTCATTACTTCCACTCGGGTCAAAGGGTCACCATTGGATGTGGGATTCTCCTTTTTAATTATGGAAGCTGGGAAGTATGTACTTCTACTGAAACTTCTCTTAAACAATAGCTTGTTGAAAGATTTTGGCTTCCTTCCATCCTATTGTGTGTAAATATTAATTTTTACTTGTTGCTTTAGGTACTAAGGTTTCTTCTTTCAAATGCAAGATGGTGGCTG